TGTCCCTACTCCAATTAGGGTGGTGTTTGTACCCCGCCGGCAGGCTCCTGGGCCTGATCCGCCGGTCTGTTGTAGGTCTGCCTACCTTGAAGGCGCGGGCGGCGGATCTGCCCTGCCCCTCCTACCACGCCTGCGGACCCCTGGGCCTGATCTGCAGGTTGATCACTGGTCTGCTCACCCTGCGGGCACGGGTGGCGGTTCCGCTCCACCCCCACTCCAATTGGGGTCACGTGACCACCACACCGGCAGGGCCTGATCCGGGCGTGGGATAAGGATCTGCTCTGCCCCTACTCGAGTTGGGGTGACGTGTGTACCACACTGGCAGGCCACTGGGCCTGACCCGCCAGGCTGTCACAGATCTGTTTACCTTGCAAGCGCGAAGGGCGGCTCTGCCCTGCCCCTCCTACCACGCCCATGTACTACTGGGTCGTGGGTCTGCCCACCTGGCGGGTGTGGGTGGCGGCTCCGCTCCGCCCCCTCTCCAATTGGGGTCACGCGGTCACCACGCTGGCGAGCCGCTGGGCCTGCTCCGGGGGCTGGCGGCGGCCCGGCTCCTTCCCTCCGGCTCGAGGACAAATTGAGGAGACTCGGGTGACTGAGCCTCACCCCCCTTACCAGAAGACCAACTGCTTATGTCACCGCTGGTATTGATGAAGATCTCTCCTCCACCGCTTTCTGCTGACATCAGATCTCTGCCATGTTGGTATCCTATGCGAATGGCAGCATTTCGTTCCCCTTGCCAGGCAACCCAAGCAATGGGTGAGTCCTGACCTGCCCTCAGCAGGACCCGGACCGAGACACAGTTTCCGCGGGCTCCTAGCCCCGGTCCAGGGAAGTTCCGGGAGCTGGAACTCGGCTGCTCCGTGCTCGGTGTAAGCTCCTATAAGTGTAGGCTCCAAGAAGCAGCCCCCGCGGGCTCAGTTCCGGGAGCCGGAATTCGGCCGCTTAGTGCTTGGTGTATGCTCTGATAGTAGCAGGGTCCAAGAAGCAGCCTCCGCGGGCTCCGCAGCCCTGAGCCAGGGCGGTTCCGGGACGGTTCCGGGAGCCGGAACTCGGCCACTCTGTGCTCAGTGTAAGCTCCTATAAGTGTAAGCTCCAAGAAGCAGTCCCCGCGGGCTCAGTTCCGGGAGCTGGAATTCGGCTTCTTGGTGTTTCGTGTTTGCTCTGATATTAGCAGGGTCCAAGAAGCAGCCTCCGCAGGCTCCGCAGCCCGGAGCCAGGGCGGTTCCGGGACGGTTCCGGGAGCCGGGACTTGGCCGCCCCGCGCTCCGTGTTCACTCCGATAAGATCAGATTTTAAGAAGCCCCCAGGCGCTGAACCCTAGCAATCTGTCTGCAAGCCGCAGGCGAATTGCAGCCTGAAATTACCTGTTCTATGGCTGAATGAGCTGCGGTCAGTCAAAAACAGGTGTGGTGACGTCAGTTTACCAACATGGTGGCTGCTGGCCTCCTCTGTGGTCTGACCGGTGTGGAGAACCGAGATGGACCGCTTCCTTCCCCGTCTCGAACCCAGAATTCAGCCCTGAGTGCGGTGCTTGCGCGTCTGGCAGAAACTGCAGCGCTGTAACCCTGCGTCTCTATCCCAGCGCGCCTTGCAGACTCTAGCCGCGGGGCGATTTGCTGAATAAGCAGTTACCCTCCGTGCGACAAACCTCTCGCGTTTGAGTCCCCGTAGCCGATCCTCATGCGATGGAAATCCTTCCTCCAGGTTCCGGCGCACCCCACTATTGCTGGAAATTCCTAACAAGATATCCTTTAGCCGTCCTGACTTGTCATACTCCCACACAGTGAAGCAGCACACGGGGGTAATGCACTCCCCTCGCCGCCATCTTCCCTCCTCCCTGTTTTTTATGTTTTTAATGTTTCTTGTGATCCTATGTTGGGATTTGTACCTCTGATAGAATGGTAATCTCTATCACTTTAGGGGATAACCTTTTTAGTGGCTTTCTGTGGAAAATGTATGCTGGGGTACCAACTTGTTAGGCAGTGTTGACTTTATTTCCAGCTTGGTACCATAGTAAAATCTTCCTGTTGTTTCTTCACTCGTGATTAGTGAGTTTGGGCACAGTGTAGACTGTATTGTATTTGGCATCATAGAGATGATTCTCTTTGCAGGTTTGCAGGAGTGGGGATACTCTACCAATTCAGGTAGGTGTGGTGAAGACAACAGAGTATGTAGGATGCATCCTGTGTGGTTATTCCTATTGGCTATTACTTGAAAGGGTATCTGGTACTGACTGCTCTAGTAGTGGTGAAGGGCCTAAAACACTTGTCCTCTGATGAGACATTGGTGTAGGTCCCGGTAATTCACAGAGAAAGGTGGATTCACAGCCTCTTCTCTTTGACACATCCAGTCTCATCAGCAGTACACGATCAGATAAGGTGCAGAGGTGACCCAGGCCACAGACCCATGTACATAACAAAAGTTGTAACAAATGTGGTAACAAAAGTTGTTGATTCTCTTTGCTGTACCATGAGAGTGTTGTCTGCTCAGGAGTGGAACCTCAGATCCTCTGTAGCTGTCCATGCCTGAGGATGTATGTGGCAATGCTGATGACTTTTCTCTCCTTATTTTTTCAGTTGTGTTACCTGCTAGGGATTGAGTGGGAATAGGTACAACTGGAGCTGGGCAACGCTCCTCTTAAGGGAGGCGCTTACAGTAGAGAGGGAAAGCAGAGTATATCTGACACTGGGCAATGTTTCTCTCTTAATTTGTCTTCAGACTTTCTTAGACTTTCCCCCCAAGGGCAAGGTGGCAACTGGGGGCTTTTCTCCCTTCCGTTTTTTCAGTTGTAGTGCCTGTGAAGGATCAAAGTGAGAGTTGGTGACTGGAGCCCCCTGGAGGTTTCTCTCAGTTGATGGGCTTCCAGGAGAAAGTGAGAAGAAAAGGCCATCAGGCACTGGACTGATTCTCTCCAGATGTTAGGCTGTGTACCCCAAGGGCAGAGCAGCCTCTGAGAAATTTTTTCCTCCTCCGCTTCTTGATTTCTAGTTCTTTCCAGGAATTATCAAGTGGGAGTTGATCACAATTGGAAAAAATTGTGAAATAGAAAATATTTTGGCGAAAATAGATCTTGGCTGAGGTGCTTGCAAGAGGGAGTGTGACCTTCCCAGGCTGTACACATTGGGGGTGGGGCCACAGCGCTGCAGGAGACTGCCTCTGCTGGGAGCCACGGAAACTGTCTTTCTCCATCTGGTTAGATACCCATGCAGTGCTGGGAGAGACGTGTTAGAAACCTTCACAAATGCCCTTAGTTCTAGCACCCACACATGACTGGACATGCCTTGGTCTTGGGAGCAAGTGCCCCAATCCAGTTCTTGTGAATGGCATTCTGCTCCCCTCCACCTCACATCTGCCCCCCACTATGTACCAGTCTCAATGATTTGTGAGACATCTACCCATCAAGCTAGTGCAGTGTTGTAGTGAATGTCTGGATCCCAGAGATGGGAATATGCAGGAATTTCTAACCCTAAAGTGCTCTGGGCTACAGCACCCTGACTCCTTGCTGGGAGATGGAGTGAATTCCTTTTCCTAAGCCAAACTGCTATGAATTTCAGGCCTCTAATTTAAGATGTAGGCCTACAAGGGCTGGGAAACTTTCTAGTGGCTTGGATTACCAGTATCAGCACTGGTAGAGTTTACTGAGACTTTCACATTTACCCCAATGAAGAAGAGACTGGGATGTTTTCTCTTGCTTTGCTGCTGTCCCCCGTCTCTGGGTTTTGCAAGGTTTTTCTCTACTGTTGTATTCCAGTGTTATCCAATTGTCACTCACCTCAGTATGCAGCTATATATCCATTGCTTTTGCTCTTCGTGAAGAGTTCAATTTAGTGCTGGGTACCTCTGTTCAGTCATCGTGCCTGCCTCACAACAATGTTCTAATCAGATAGCATGATACACGTATTACCCACTTAAAAATAGTCTCCTAAGATAAATAGGTGATTTAATTATATAGCTGTTAATAAGAACTCCTAAATTTTTTGGAACTGGCTTTAAATTAAGACACATGGTGCCAGGAGTGGTGGCAGAAGCCTGTAATCCCAGCAGCTCCAGAGGCTGAGGCAGGAGGATTGCGAGTTCAAAGCCAGCCTCAGCAAAAGTGAGGTGCTTAGCAACTCAGTGAGACCCTGACTCTAAATAAAATACAAAATAAGGTTGGGAATGTGGCTCAGTGGTTGGGTGCCCCTGAGTTCAATCCCTGGTAGCCCCCCCACCAGCCACCAAAGAAGACACAGGGTTTTTAGTAATAATTTTCTTTTTTCAAAATAAATGTGACTTTTGTTTTGTTATTGCAAGTCCCCAAATCATCCCCAGGTAAGTATGGTGGAGAGATGATAAACAGTTTCTTTTCAAAAATAAGTAAAAACTACTTTTTCTGTCTTTAAACTGGTTCTGAAGTTGAGATCTTAAAAAAAAATTTGTCAGCAGTGTTATGATTGCTCAAAACCCAAGATCTGTTTGTGCCACAGAAATTTGAAGATATGACTAACCTTATTCTGAGAATACCACAGTAGGCTCAAATACATGTAGGTATAATAGCTTTGACCTAAAGAGTGTTATGCAATTTCTTCCAGATGTGGCTAAAGCCCTGTAAACGGGCAGATATACCAAAACGACCAAGTTACGTTGCTCCATTGTATAAGACAAGTGAGCGGAGAGGAACACTATCCACCACTGGCCATTCTACGAACTTTGTAATTGCCATGATTCTTCCCTCTGAGCAACCCAAGGAGCACTGGATTGGACGTGGTGTAGCACTGTTGTGTCAACTTAACTCATAACACAAACATGTCATTTTCTTGTTCCTATTTGTTATTTAAATAGAAAGTATATTTTATTCTGTTGAAATAATTTTTTTAGTTTAAGTACATTTGACTAACATTATTCAAAAGTATGAATTTACTTATGTGCAAATGCAGTCTAAATTTAAAAGTATTCATACTTTAAGGAAATATTGTGATGTAGATACTGAAAAAAAAAACCACACTGGTATATGTATGTGCTCTTTCTGAATAACTTTATTTTGGGAGAGTTCCATAAGCATTAGGAACATACATAAAATGACACACCACTGTTGACAATGAAAAAAACAGCATTTGATCATTTCCAGCTTTATAAATTTTTTTAAAAAAATGATTCAGTTACAACAACAAAAAAAAGTTTAGCTATTTTAGCAAGTATCACCTTGCAGGACCATAATCACATATAAGCCACTGACTGTTAATGGAAAAAATTCACACTGCATCTAGTTACTATAGTATTTCTAAGCATAATCACAGCTGATTGACTGCAATGTGATATACACTAAAATTCATATGGATGTCACACAGTGACAGCATTGTACAAGTAACATTAATGACCTCCAACAAACACATGTTAAAATTAGACTGGTCAAGCTAAATGGAATGTTGGAGCCAAACAGAAATGTAGTGGAATTAAGATTGTCTAGTGAGACTTGAAACTATACGTTAGGATGATGTGAAAACTAAATACTGGTGGAACCCTATCAAAATACTAGCAGCAACTGTTACAGCACTCTTAACAGGTTAAGAAAATCTAGCAAATAAAGGTAATACCATTTTTGAGAGAATATAAAATTTTAGCATAACCAATTTGCTTTAAATGAGGCATTTAAGACTGGAGTATATTCCAGCTGTTGCTTTTAAATGAAGCAGATTTAATGCTGGAATGCAGAATGTTCACTGGGTATCAAAACCCAAAAATGAACTATAAATATCTTGGTTCAGAAAGCAAGATATTTCGATCACTAAGTTGGCAGTACTAAATAAAATATCAGCACCTTTTAGCTAGGTTGCTTGAAGGGCCAAGCAATGAGATGAGGACTGTCCTAATTCAGTGCCCACTGCTGAAAACAAACTATGTATAAAACTCCTACTTATTACAAGGAGGGAGGCCACAGAGAAAGCCAGAAATGATTTTTCAAATTCAGAAATAAATTAAAGATGTAACAAAACCTAATCTCCCTTGCTTATAGCATAAAGAAGAAACACTGGCAATAATCTAGTAATACCTGGACACATGTGCTGCTCTCAAAGTTTTGTTTTTGTTAAAAAAATTCATAGAGTAAGAGGAAAGGAGAAGGATTAAATAGAGACACTTAAAATGGAATGGAAAGAGAGTTTGGCTCTTACATATTTGAACAGCAAGATTTTTTTTTTAAAAAGTCACACTCGTTGCCAAGCTGATTAAAACAAAGCTAGCTGCACACAGTTCAAATATAGTTTACCTGGCATAAATGAAGACCACGTGGCACAAGGTGTAAACAGAAAGCTACATGCGTATGACTAGTACTATAAATTATTGGATCAAAATTTAGGATAAACATGGCTTGCACTTCTCACAAATCATTTACAATTATGGTAGAAGAACAGGGCACCTAAAAAAGAGACTAATCCCTATCAGGCACCAACAGCATATCTTGGCACAAAATGATCAAGTGATTTCAGCTTAGTCATTTACTTGGTACCCTGATAGCCATGGCATCAGTGTAGTTTATCCTCGAAACTGTTTAACTGACACTTCACATACAGATCACAGGCATGGTAAACTTGGATTTTCTGCCTTCCAACTTTATTGCCAGCCACAGCATGTGCTCCATTTGGCGTTGGTTCCAATGCTAAACTGTTTACAGAACATTCAGAACTTAAATTTCCCGTTTAACCTAGTCAGTACTGTAAAGTTGAAAAATTGAATAGTTTAGACCATGTTTGGGTTCATATTTTCTAGAGAGTTATAATTTTAAGAAAAATACATTTGACCACATGCTTTGGTCCCCACCTCCCCCGCAAAACCACAGAACAAAAACAAAATTGAAAAAAAAAAGAAAAGTACCCCCAAACACCAAGTATTATAATAATACAAAAACCATTATGAATCTTTCATTAAACTGAAGCTCACACAAACATACAATCACAAATTTCAGTAGTTTAGGCTGCAAGTTTAAACACTATGCAAATATATACAAAAATAGTAACTCTAGATTCAAGAATAAGGACTTTTCCCGATGCTAAATTCATACTCTAATGCAGCCTGAGCTTTCTTCTAGTTCCTATAGTCTACTTTAGGCGGTTTCAAAGTTGTGTCAAGTTGATCCCTATTACCATATGTATATATGTAGCTGAATTAAAGGGCACTACAATTCATTCTTAGCATACACAAAAATGTCTGCTCAAAGTCCATTTAAAATATTTTTAAAGTGTAAATGATTTTTTTGGTTTAATTTCTAGTTCTGCATAGCCACAGAAGTTTCTACTAATAAAGAGACTACTTTAGTGTTTTATATGATTATTTTTTAAAAGTTTTAATCAAACCTGTATCAACATTGGTTCATAGAGTCCCATTTTCTCCTCTTTATCACCAAGTTTGTTTTTAAAAGACCCTTCATATAGGGAACACAGTACTGAGCACCAGTCTTTTGTGGTTAGGCTCAAATCTATGGAACTTGTAAGTAGTGCAAGCCACTGACTTTTCTTTGAGCAATGTGCATACAGTACAAGGAACAGATGCAAAGCTGAATGGTAACATTCTCGTAATCAACAGTGATTACTGGGAATGGTCAGAACTGGATGTCAAACACAATTTTGTCTTCATAGAGGGCGATCACCAGCATGATGGCAAATCCAAACAGCAACCCTAAATTCTGAAGAATGAATTGCCCCACTGGACAAAAGCCATGCTCTTCGTTGTCACCATCACCATGCAACATTTCTGGAAGCTGAAAACAAACAAACAAAACACCAAATCTTTATAAGCAATTTAAAGTTTGTGAACTTTACAAACTGGCAATCTCCAATATCCGGCTCCAGTAAGACCATCTCACTACATCTTTTCTACCTTCCCCTAAGTTTTTATTGTCACAAAAACTTTTCCTTTTGACTTTTCCTTAATATTTAATCATGAACAACACAGAGGACATTTCACAGAAACACCCCCTCTAGATATGCATGCATACTAACCAGAACAGGCACTGTGCCTTCACCATATTCAATTATATACTGACTGCCAACACCCATAATATCTGTCACAACCACAGCTAAGAGCTAACCAATACCTACTCTTAAGGCCATACTTGATAAAATACAAAAAACGCTTTTTTACTGATTGATAAATGGTACTGCCCAAAGTCCCCTAAGGCCAGATATTATTTCTAGTGGGACATTTAATAGAAAGCCAAACTAAAGCTGACTTATTAAATCGCTTTAAAGACATAAAACCTTCTTATAGGCAAAGTGGCCTTCCTAAGCTAAAAATGTGATCATGTCATTCCACTGCTTAAACCCTACAATGACTCCCCAAGCTTTACAAGATAACTCTCTTTATCATGGCAAGTTATATGTCATGTTCTTGCAAACACACCTTCCTGATGACAACATGGATATAATTTTCAATCTAATTTTTTTACTTAATATTAGAAAATACATGATTTTAGAGTTAAGATCTGAGAAAATATATGTGGATAGTTTCTCTTGAATATTTAGTGTTTCCAATACAATTGTAGCACTGCAAAGAATACTGCAGTAAGGCTCTACTTTGGTTTGCTTGTTTGTGTTATTAGTAATAGTCATTTTAGGCTATTTCCTCAGAATAGAATTCCTGGAGTAGAATTACTGGTCAAAGAAATGTTGCCATCTATCACTCACCCTACTCATACACTCTTCCCTCTGGCTTCTAAATAAACGTTTCTATATTCTTTAAGACTTAGCTTAGATTTCCTATTACATAAAAACTTCCTTAGTTCTCTTTGATAGCCTGCCTCTGTATGATACTCTATCATAATACCTATTTAAAGAATTATAATTGATGGCTATTTTCTTCTTTATCAGACCCTAAGTAAAAACTCTCGTTTATATGTTCCTAGTACAAGAATCAGTTCACTCATTTTTTTTTAATTTGGTACTTAGTGTGAATTTCATTTCCAGCAGTGTGTGAAATAAGACAAAAATCCCTATCCTTGAGGAGCTGATTCCTTGTGAACCCATAAGTAAAATGTCTGGTGTGTTAACAGATCAAGATACAGGTGCAAAAGGAAAAAAAGTAAAATAGGATTAAAGTATGTGAAATGTTAGGAAAGGAGAATGAAATTTTAGGTAGGACACTCACCAGAAGGAAGTGAGGGACCTAGTCCTGAGGTCTAACAGGAAAAGCAAGAGCTACAACTTGGAGGGACACTGTGCCTTGGGGGCAAGGTTAGGGAAATTAAGGATTCAGAGTGCAAATGTTGAGGAATGATGAAAAGCCATGCAGGTCAAAGAACTTGGGGACTTTTACTCTGAGATGGTACTGAAGGTCTAGAGTACACAAGAGTCATGAATGATCTCCTCTATGACTTGACAGGATCCTCAAGCTAAGGTGGCAACATAGGGTTTTGGTGGGCAGGGCAAGGCAGAATCAGGGAGAGCAGTTAAAAAAGGAAGATGGTGGTAGCTGGATGAGGGTAGTGGGATCAGGTGGTAAGGATACAGAGGCCTCAGGACTCACAAAGCTCATGTGGGCAGGGCACACAGTATAGGCAAAGCATGATGCATAGGCTTTTGCTCTGAATAAGAATGAAGTTTTCATTTATGAGCTGGTGCATTATATAAGAAATGTTCATGCAAGGAGTGGGACTGGCAAATATCAGGAGCTGAATTCTGAACATATTAAGTTTCCAATGCCTTTAGACACTCAAGTAAACACATAAGTCTAGAGCTGAAGGAAAGTCCAAAGATATAAATTTAAGAATCATCAGCCAATAAATATTAAACCCATGAGATGAGATGACTCAGAGGGTGTTTGCCAACATTTGAGGTAGGGGAGCTGATGGGTATCTAATAAAAAAGACCAACAAAAAGATCAGAAAGGTGGAAAGGAGGTTAGGAAATTATGGTCCTATAAAAGCCTACTTACAAGAAAGTAATTTCAAACAGGAAAGGAGGATCAACTGTCAGATGCTGCTATTAAGGCATGAAAAATGAAGACTAGAAAATGACCAGTGGCCTTAATAATGCTGTGATCAATGGTACACTCGACAAAAGCAGTTCTGGCAGAGCAGTCAGAAAACTGATGTGGTCAGACTTGAGAAAACATAGATGATGATTTTCTAAAAGAGGAAAGAGAGCAACAAGGTGACAGCAAAAACAGAAATCAAAGCTAAGCGAGCTTCCTCTCCATTACCTTTTCAAGAACGGAAAAAGTAATGTGGTATATATGTTAACAGGAATGGTCAGACAGGGAGGGCAGAGCGAGCTGGGAAAGAAAGAAGAACTGAAGGCACGTGGCATGACAGATGGTTCTGGGGAACAGTTTGAAGAAACTGGCCTTAGCTAGAACATGGATATTTCTTCACAATAAAAGGAAGGTAGGCAAATGGTCATAAATAAAAGAAAAGAGAAGTGGAACAGGAACTTGGGAAGGTGTCATGATGGTTTCACTGTGTCCATGACAAGAAGCAAGACTATAAGCCGAGAAGTATAGACAAGAGCATGGAGGGATCTGAGAAAAGGAAAACAGCTCCCTCTGGGTTACACAATATCAACGTTTAATTCTTTTCATTTACAGCTTTTAAACTTTACACAATAAACAGGCATTAATATTTTTAATTAAAAATTTAGGCATATAACTATGAAATGAGGCCATGTGATAGAAGAAAAGTGGATGTAATATCAAGTTACAAAATTTAAAAAATGAACCAAATTACTAGTTCTATAGAAACATTTCTGCCATATTTGGGATATAAAGCAAAATTATTAACTTTAAGCTAAAGTTTTGATATCACCTATTTTTAAGATATTTTATATTTTTAAAAGTTTGACTTCAAAGATTTCTTCCATTTTTGTAAGCTACATTCTATTTTCAGGTTTTACCACAGTAACAACAAAATATATATGTATATAAAAAATATCTTACCATATCCACCAAGGCTACATAGAGGAACATGCCTGCAGTGACTGCGAAGATCCAAAGTGTGATGTTATTGGCATATTGACCAACGGCTGTGCCTATGAGCATGCCAATGTAAGCCATCATGGCAGAGAGGAGGTTGTATACAATTGCTTGCTTTACAGTCATGCCTGCTTTAAGAAGAACTGCAAAATCACCTGCAATTAAGACATGGAAGTTTTAAAACCACAGGATTTAAAAAAATTTTTTGAAAAAAAAAATTAAGAATAACATTTAAAAGATATATCTTTAATAACATTGTGTGGGGTAAGAGTTTGGGGATGATAGAACTGTTCTGATATTCTGATGGTGGTGGTTATACATATCTGTATACATGTTAAAATTCAAAGAACTATATACACAAGACACTTTTACTGTATGATAACAAAATAAAAGATTTTTTTTAACAAAAGAAGAAAAAAAAGAACCATCTCTTTTTGTAACAAGAGCTTTCTGTTTTGACTTCTGCTCTTTCTTCAAAGGGAAATGGCCCAAGTAAGAATATAGATCACAGGTTCTTTAAGTACATTTTATGCTGTTTCCATTTCTGCCCCCTCCCCCCATTAAACCTTAATTCTGAAAATCTTAGAAGTGGAAGAATAATGAACTTTCCCCACCATCTTCCTTGCTGCCACGATGGTGCACATGAATGTCCTGGCTGATGCTCTTTAAAGCATCAACAATGCCTAAAAGAGAATAAACACCAGGTTCTTAAAAGGTTGTGCCCCAAGTCACTGTCGGGTTCCTGTGATGATGAAGCATGGGTACACTGTTGATTGTGTAATCATCCATGATCACAGAGCTGAAGCAAGACAAAAACAAGAGGGAAAATCCAAGAATTCTTTTTCTAAAGACATATACACATACTAGTGCCTCAATGGATCAACAAACAAAACCAAGCTGATTTTTTTTCCCTTCAATGCATAAGACCCCAAACTGGAAACAACCTAAATGTCTTTCAGTGGATGAATGGATAAACAAAGTGACTCACCTTTGGGATGAATATTACTGAGCAATAAAAATTCATTTCCTGATATATATAGTAACATAGATGAATCTTTTAAAATTTTATTTTGGTAAATTCCACTAAAATAATGGAATTTATTCTGCCATATCCATACATGAACATAATTCGATCAATCTCATTACATGGATGAATCTTACATGCATTATGCCGAGTGAAAAAATCCAGATTCAAAAATCTATGTACAATCTCACTCACATGGTATTCTAGAAAAGGCAAAACTTCAGGGACACAAAGCATATCTTTGTCCAGAAGCTAAGGCCTAAGAGAATTTAGGGTGGTAATGAAATGGAGTTCTCAACTCTGTCTTAAGTTGCAATATTAGGAGGAAAATGACTAATTACTATTCAGGGAGATTATCAGTAGAACCATAAAAGTTCTGCTAGAGATAATACTCTTCAAACAGAAGGGTCAAAAGCACTGCTTTTAATTTTAGCAGGTTTTTGTTTTAGTTACTAAATGTACAAACATCCAATCAATTTTTGAACACTTAAGTATATGCTAAAAATGCATGATCTATTTCTTCTATACCTTGAGTTATGACTACAAAGTCCAAGCCTGTTGACAGCAAAGACACTGGTGACAAGGCATTATTTTTCCCTATTCCAACAAATTGCTACCAACCACAAAAGGCACTATTGCTCTGGAAAGTCAAGATGACACTCCAGAGGACTACAACTTCCAATGACTTTTAAATTGCCATTCTCTAGTTTCCACCTAATACTGTTCTTATACCTTTTCCCTTCAGATCCTAAATACTGCACCTTTTTTAAAAAGTTCATTTTTTATTTGTTTTAACTAGTTATACATTAGAATGCACTTTGATATATATAATGGAATATAATTTCTCTAAATACTGTACCTTAATTTTCCTGATGAGACTTGGGATTTAGTATCGACTTTTACCTCTTCTCTCCCCTGGCATTTGGTTAATTTCTCCTGTCTTTTTTCCCCTCAGCTTCCTCCAAGCTACCTAACTCTTTCCTCCACAAATTTTTATTCCATGTTTTCAGTAATTTGACAGTGCTCAAGGGTTAATTTTATTTAGCAGGGGATTATGTAATACAAAATGAGACTACAGGAGTGTCTTTTATTTATGAAATACATTGTTTCCTTTTAGAGTTTTATAATGGGGTTTTAAAAGGAGCATGTTTTAATACTCAATGAACCACCTGTCAAGACAAACCATATCAACTTTGTGGCTTCACTGTTATTGGATAATACAATGATTTTGTTCATTCTTAAGTAGCAACCAAACAGCACGAATTAACTACTCAAGATGCAGGTCTACTTAGTTTTAACTTTTAAAAATTAAGGCACAACTTACATAACTTTTATTGTGTGTTTTTTTTAATGTAGAGTTCTATGAATTTTTGACCAACACACATATCATTATACCCATAACTACCATCAAACTCTGGAACTGTTTCATTTCCACCATAAATTCCTTTAGACTGCTCACCCCTAGACAACCAAGGATCTGCTTTGTGTTATTCTTAAAAGTTCTGCTTTTTTCAGAACATCATGAATGGTACCATACGTAATGCATTTTTTGAGTCTGTATTTTTTCACTTAGCATAATACCTGTAACATTCATCCACATCTATATATAGAGATTATATATATTTTTCCTGATATATAATCTATCAGGAAAATACATTCTATTACTCAATAATATTCAATAGGTGCATCATATTTTATCGATTCACCATCTGAAATACATTTAGGTTGTTTGCAGTATTGGGTCCTTATGAAGAAAGTCACTATACTTACTCATAAATTGACTTTTGTGTTTTCATTTCTCTTGGGTAGATACTTAATAAATGGGACTGCTGGGCCATACGGTAAGTATGTGCATTTTCATCAGCAATGTATGAGAGTGCTAGCTGTTCCATATCCTTGCCAGACAATAATCACTAATCCAGCACTAAAACCTCAGGTTTATTTGCCATCTGTTCACCTTATTTAGTAAAATACCTATTTAAATCTTTTGCCCATTTTGCAGGAAGGAGGCTGGGTTGTCTTCCCATAACTAAATTGAGAGTTCTTCAAATATTATGGCCCTAAAGACCTTTTGTCAGATATGTATTTTGCAAGTAATATTTCCCTGTGACTTGTCTTTTTATTCTCTTAACAGTGTCTTTTGTGAAGCTGTTAATTTGTATGAAGTCCATTTGTATTAAACTTTTTTCCTTAGCTGATCTTGCCTTCAGTGCCGTGGAACAGTTTGCCTAACCCAAGAACACACAGACATTCTCCTATGTTTTCTTTTAGAAATGTTACATTTTTTAATTCTCCATTCAGATAGATGATCTATTTTGAGTTTGTTTTTGTCTATGGGGCAAAGTGCAAAGGGTTTTTTTTTTGCAAATGGATATCCAAGTGTTACAGCCTCTTTGGTTGACAAGACTTTCTATATAGAATTTCCTTTATGCTTCTGTTGAAAATAAACTGCAAATATATGAAGGCTCTAAACTATTCCACTGATATATGTCTCTATTGTTTTACAATCCCAACTGTTTCAAAATCACCTTAGTTGTCCTTTTACAAAATTTTCTGTCTATTCAAGTTCCTTTCCCTTTCCATATAAAAATTCTTTAAAGCTCACATACTTTGCAAAAGAGTCTGCAGGGTTTTTGACAAAGCTATTGAATTAACATGAACATACTACATCTATGAGAATTAACATCTCAACAATATTGAGTCTTCTGGTCCATGAACCTGGTATCTCCTTCAACAGCATTTTAGTTGATTGTGGTTTTCAGTATACAGATTCTATCCATATATGGTTTAGACTAGAGCTAGATAATTCATGTTTTTAGAGCTATTACAAACAGTACTTACTCTAGATAGGGCAGAGGGGTGGGAGGGAAAGGGAGGCGGCATGGGGTTAGAAATGATGGTGGAAATGTGATGGACATTATTATCCAAAGTACATGTATGAAGACATGAATTGGTGTGAATATACTTTGTATACAATCAGAGATATGAAAAAATGTGCTCCATATGTGTAATATAAATTGTAATGCATTCCGATGTCATATATAAATTAAAAAAAATAAAAAATTCTATTTCCAATTACAGACTGCATAAACAGTACCATTTTATATAATAATCTTTATGTCAAGATTATTATAGATTTCACTTAAAAATCTATCTTTGTCCTACTCTTATTTCAGATTATAAATTCTCAAAGGTTTTTGCATATTTTCTCCACCTCCCTTCTCAGTAAAAATCTGTTTAAACATTTCAAAAGTACGTCAAAGGATCCCAGAACTGTAATTTATATGGAACATGTAAGTTTATTCATCAATTGATGAATTAAACTTCTTTCTTTCTGCTGACAAGGAGCATCATTAGGACAATGAATGAGGTGTTTGCCAAAGCTACTGAATTAACATGATCCAATATTATAACTACATTAATTATTGATATTTTTGAAACAAGAATATATTTTAAGATTTTTATCCTTAAGTAATGCTTATTTATATACATGAGAATTCCATATAAATCTATACAATGACTGTTTAATTGTTTCCAGACAATTTAGCAAATTATGGAAAATTTATTTTGGATTTCAGTTTAACCCTTAGTGTACTTGAGAGGAAAAGGAAAACATTATAAGCAATCTAACTTTCTGAGCTATCTAAAAATATGGCATTTATTTATCAAAATGTTATTTGAAGCTGAAATATATTATGCAACATCAAGAAGAGAATTTAGATTACATATTCTTCTAGATTAACCCCAATTTCATTCCCCTTTCTAAACTTTTTTTACAGGCCTTCTTATAAATTACTTTTCATATGCTTATAACAGTTGCTTACTGAAGGAGTGTGTGAAAAAAGGGAGAGAATGCAACAAAGGAATATTGTAACTTACTTATACAGCTACAGTTTGGCAAAAATAGAAGTGTACAGACCTAATAAGCCAGGCAATTTCACCCATTACCACACTTGAGGGTAACATTTTCATGGGCATGCTACTTCCTCAATGGTTTAAATTTCTTCATGCCTCTTAAGAGTGAATCTCCCTGAGCTTTCTATCATTCTAAGGTTCTAAGGGTTGTTCATATCATATTCCTAACCAAATAAAAACAATGTATTGTCTCTAATGTACTGAAATATAATTTAAATACTCAGTTTTCTTTGGGATGTGACGTTAGTAAGAAAATCTTGTAAGAGTTTTAAGAATTCACAATCAAAAACATAATTAGGGCAAAGAGATTTAATTAAATAAATTTTCCTGAAATGTGATCTATTATTGCTTTGTCAACATCTTAAACTATTAAGTGGGTAAACAACTTCTTTCTTATTAACCCACCATGCTATTTCAGTCTATAGAGGAATGATTTTCCCCGAGCTTAGAAGTTCTGAGGAAGATGCTTCTCTGCCCATATCCACATCCTGTTCCTGCCCAAGTAAATAAAAATAGATGATCTAAGTAGGGACTTTCACCTGGTCCTATTTTACAAAACTACCCCATTGTTGTGCCTTCAAGGGAAAACATAGGATTTATGATCATGTTTTTACTTCCGTTATTTACAGTTGGTGCTTCACTTCATGAAGTCACACTTACTTCCTTTTTGACAAAGTTCAGTAAACTTTGTGCTAATTTTCTTCTCAAAGCAGCGGCAACATCTCAATGTCTGGTTTGGGGGACAAAACAGGTAGATACTTGAGGTCTGAATGGTTGAGTGACCCAAGAAGGTTCTCTAATCCAGGATTTTTCCCAGAGTTCTGCATTGGATTTCAAGGGCTGGCTTACACATTAATTGATATAGTGCATTTGTTCTCCACATTGCTGGAATATCTCATGTCATTCCTTCAATGACAAAGGAGTAAGCAGCAAGAAAGCAACTATCATTCATCTCTAAAATTCATTGTTTTCAATTCTGTGCCATACTAGATTCCTCCAGAGCTAGGACAATTCAATAAAACCACATTTAAACACAAAGTGGCCTGACATGTTTCATTTAGGGGCACTGGATAGATGACCAGGAAGGTTAATTAGAGGTTTTCCTAGTATGCAATGGATGGATATGTGTGTGACAATACAAATCTATTACTAGTAGTTTTTTTTTTTTTTTTTAACAGTGAAAGATTGAAATATGAGGACAAATGTTATTCATATTAAAAAGCTGATAGAAAATCCTGATTTGTTTTGCTATGGAGTTGGGCTAACATCAGTATGTGCACATTAAAAATCCTATAGCTTAAGAAATGGAACATCTATAAAAAGAAATACACTAAGTACCAAAAGGAAGATCACCCAGAGAAAGTGATAAATTTTAGAGGGAAGAGTAATATAAGGTATAGGGTAGTAAGTGACAGTAATGAAGATGGAGAAAGTAAGAGTCATACTTAACATGATAAATTAGGGATAGAGGTATTGACAAATCAAGAAGGATGGTATCATCAAAGTAAAAGATTCAGGTACTCATACAGCCTGTCTGGAAAACTGTGTTTAGGTGAAGTAGAAAATATGCAATAGGATGTATTATGAGGAAGACTGGAAAGGTAAGCAGAGGGCAGAAATGAAGGCCACTGTAATGAAACCAATGAATCTAGCTTTACTTTATACATAAAGGAGGCAACTGAAGACTCTGATTACATAAGCACATCTCATTTAAGAAGCTATACCTGGTAATAAGGCATATGAGACAGAACAAAATGAAGCCAGAAATGTACAACTGTGGAAATTGACCAAGTAAAACACAACAAAGGCAGCAATGACCTCGTATGGGGAAAGGATTATGGAATAAAACCAAGACTTACCATAATGTGCCCAAAGTTGGCAAGGTAAACAAAACCATAGGAATTCAGCCCTACAGAACAGATGCTAAGTGTGTACTAATACATTGCTCTGCTTTTTGTAGGGTGATACTGATTTTTAAGCAAATTCTATTAATAAATAAACTTTCTTAACAACAAGCAAATAAGGTTACTACCAATCAAGGCAATTATATAATCAAATTAATAATGACATTTCATAGCCAGATCTGAGTTTTCAAAAATAAATTAAATTAGAAAGAGCACATGAAGAAACTCCTCGGATTCTTAAAATGTGGAGTTCTTTTATTTTGAATTAATGCCATCTCCACTTCCCTCGAATGTTTTCTATATGAATGCATGTTCACATCTTTAACTATAATTAAAGAGAAACACACAAAGAGAAATTAGATACTGGATGATTAATAAATATCAAATAAAACAACAAAGCAATATTTTACATTTATTAAGTCCACAAAACCAAGCAATTCAGTTAATGATAAATTTTGGCAAAGATATGGCAACATTAGGTATTGCTGGCTGGAAATTACACCAGTGAAGCCAATGAATCTAGCTTTACTTGGATAATGATATGGTATTTCTTAGGTATGCATGTTTAGGACTCATCAATTCTGTCCCTTGAATATGCATAAAATATGTTCTCACAAGATCAGTAAGTATTACATTTACAGATGTTCAATGTACCGTTATTTGTGGTGGCCAGAAATTAAAAGGCCACAAGGTATATATCTAACACAAGGTGCTAACTATGCAAAAAGTGGTGAATGCATACCTTTAAGTACTGGTAAAAATAATAATTTAAATCAATTCACGGTAACTGAGTAGAGTTTAAAAACACAATGGTAGTAACATAAGGTAATAAACAGAATGGGATATAAACATCATACTATTTATATAAAAATGCGTGCATATAAATACCCATACATATTCCTTGGATCATATAACAATGATTACACAATAAACATAAGAAAATGATAAGTCTATAACAGGGAAAGAGAAGTGAATAGGAAGATAAAGGAGAAAGCCCAACCTAAATAGAAAATTGTGCATTTTTAGTATTAGAGGAAAAAAATCTATTAATCAATGAGAGAACATTAAAAAATATTTTTAAGTGGTTTTAAAAATTAATTTTGGGGCATTAAGGTCCACTTTTTTAAAACACATGAAAAATTAATGTTGAGATTTTGGGGTATTAAGATTACACAATATTAAAATAAACATACACACACATACATATAATATGTGTGTGTCTATGTGTATATACATATAAAATAAAGAATCATCAAACCTCATGCTTAAGAGGATTAGAAGTTAATAACACTACTCCAAACCCTTGGTGCTAGTGCTAGTCAAGACTGTAGTCCAATTTCTTTCATAATTATCCAGTACACTTTTGGGGACAGTATCTTTCTATATTTAAGAAGAAAAGACTGCCTTACACACATCTAGGCCAACTTCCAATTATGCAGTCTGTGCACTTTGCCTTGATTCTTTTAAAAATATAAATAGTTTGCATGGTATATGAAACAAAATCAAAAGTGGGTTACCAGTAAAATCAGGTACTTAAGAAACAATACTTTTTTAAACATTATGTTCAGTGAACTGGTCATAATTTATGATTCTTTTTTTTTTAAAGATAGAGAGAAGAGAGAGAGAGAGAGAGAGAGAGAAAATTTTTTATTATTTATTTTTTAGTTTTAGGCGGACACAACATCTTTTGTTTGTATGTGATGCTGAGGATCGAACCCTGGCCGCACACATGCCAGGCGAGCGCGCTACCACTTGAGCATCACATCCCCAGCCCTGATTCTTTCATATAATAACATAATGATGTTCCTGAATGCAAAGGAAAGCACACAGAAATAAACATTTCATGAATCTTAAGAAACACATTTTTTTTCATATTTTATGTCAGGATATACAATTACAATTAACGACACCTCACAGTTGTTATTTTGGCCATTTTTTGTTTTAACATCTCTGAAGTATGGAGTGTCTACAATTGGAAAGTCTTGGATTTGAAGAAATCTGGTAAAAATTCTTAAGGTTATATTACCTAATTCATGTGGCAGTTCATGACAGAAGACAGCTATAGAAGTACTGATTCCTCCTGTCAATCCAGCACTGAAAGCCGCTCCTGAGGAAGATTTAAAACAAAAACAAGTGATATTGCAGCTCTTCTGTTTTTCCATTTTTATTAATGATGACTGGTTGTCTCTTCTGCATATCTAAGTTAATTTCACTTATATGCATAACTCACCCATTTTACATACTAGAGTTTTTGAAAATATAGTGAGTACATATTCTGAGTCTACCAGAAGAATCCTTTAGTATTAATAGCTACTGTAGATGTAAAAATATAGTCAGCTTTCTGAAAGAAAGCAAAGCCTGCTTTTGGGCAATTAATAGTCTCTCTCAAAGATAGTCACATATCGATCACATTTAATGTTCTCCTAAAATGGTAAGATGAGTTTACATTAGCAAAATTCTAATGTATTTGCCAAGCACAATGGTGCATGCCTGTAATTCTAGTGACTCAGGAGGCTGAGACAGGAGGATCACAAATTCAAGACCAACATCAACAACTCGGCAAGGCCCTAAGCAACTTAGTAATATCCTATTTAAAAAAAAAAGAAGGCTGGAATGTGGCTCACTCATTAAGCACCCCTGAGTTCATTCACTGGTACCAAAAATATTATAATATATTTGAATGTATTATAATGTATTATTATCACGATTTTTCGTGTTGTAAATATTTTCTTCACCTTTTCAAAATGAAAAAACTCCACGATTGAAATTAAACTGTTTTCTTTTAGGGAATATACAAATGTATTTGAAAATGTAACATTAAAATAGCTTTTTCAATAAAGTGACTATCCTTTGAGAAATCAAGTTATTTAAGAAGTATATTATACACATTTGTTTAATTTCCAAAAAATAAAATAAATGAACACTGAAATTTTACCTTTAATTTCCAAATACATCTGTAAAACATGAAAACACATCCTTTGGAAAAACTAAATGACACAGTAATACATACTAGTACATTTGTTAATAAGCTCTACATAAATTTTAGTCTTATGAATTATAGTTCATAGGATTATATGGACATATTGAAAGAAGAAAAGCATCTTTAAAGAACAACAAATTAGCCAGGTGTGATGGCCCATGTATGTTATCCCACCTACTTTGGAGGATGAGGCAGAATGATTGGAAATTTTAGGCCAGCCTGTACAACTTAGTGAGACTCTATCTCAAAATTTTAAAAGGGCTGTGGTACAGCTCAGTGGTAGAGCTCTTGCCTAACAGTATGGAAGGTCCTGGGTTCAATCCTTAATACTGAAAAAAAAAAACAAAAAAAAAAAAACAAAATTTATAACCCAACTTTCAAGTATAGTCCACTTACCAATTGCCAGCCCATCACTGAAGTTGTGGATGCCATCCCCCATGATTACCATCCAGGCTATATTGGCTATTCCTGTTTCTTTCAGATCTGATCCAGAATGACAGGGACCATGTGAATGATGAGAATGTTTGTGGTGCCACTGATGATTATGTTTTCTCAGCACAGTTTTATTCTCATCATGGTGGTTATGTGCAGTAGCATGGAGATCATGCTCATGAATGGTATGTAATCCATCACTGTGAGAATGGTCCATGATTTTCTCCTCTTCTATACAAAGGTAGTTCTTAGGAGGGGATTCTTGTTGGCCTTCTAAATCTGTCAGTTCAGTTTCATTAAGTCGATCTTCAGAAACAACTGAGTCATCGGTTCCTAAATTATAGGAGAGATGTTTTATAAGTAAATGCATGAATATTTGCTCATTTTTAAACCCAGACAGAGCAGCAATGCAATGAACATTTCTTAAGTGAATATAAGTCTGATAAATATACTTCCCTAAAACTATTTAGAAACAATTCCCACAAAACAATGTTTTTGGAAACTCATCAACTAAATAACTAGATAAAATAAACCCAAAATGTTCAGAGAAAGGAATCTTAGTGGTAACTCACTCTAGCCACTTCTTATTTAAAAAACAAAGACAAATAAAATTTACAAAACTTTCCCAAGTCATACAGTTAGTTGATGGTAAAGTTCTTTATATCCCTCAATGCTCCACCTATATGACAATGCTACTGAGAAAGATCATTGGTAGAATGAAGTTCAGAATCCCATGCAGGGAAGAAACATGTGATAAGGAACTTTTTTCTTAACTGAGGATGACCTTTCAACTAGTTTTTCAAAGCTCTTTTTTTATGACAGAGACCCTGATACTTCCCAATTGTATTCTGGGGCAGAGTTATACCATTAGATTCTAAGACTGCTAATTTTTTTGCAGAAAATCATTGATACCATCAGGGAAATAAGTTGAAACAGAAAATGAGAAAATTAGGTTAAAAAACATTTTTTTATGTTCCCCTGAAAACTAAGCTACCTCACTCATCACCTACAACAATCAGAATACAAACAGAGCAAATTTTAATAAAGACTAAGGCCATGCTCCTTCAAGCACAAAGGCAATTTTCCTTTTTCCACCTTAAACCAATCATATTTAAAAGATAAAGAGATTTCACATTGTCAAGAAGTAAAACACCAACTCACTACCTAGAAAGACTTTGATTTCCTCAAATATTTTTTCCTTAAGCTAGAAGTGCAAAATGTTTCTTGCCCCATAATGTTCTTGGCCCACTTTCAGCATAAGGGTGAAATTAACTAAACAAATCATAAGACACAAGAAATATTTACATTTAAGAAAAACAGCTTAGAAACTAGTATTAGGGAAGCCACAAGGACAAAAAATTTTAAACAACACAGGTGCAGTTTAGACGCAATTTTTATATCTTAAGAGTTTCTCTTTAGTTAGAACTGTTGATACCAGCAAGAGGCTTGAGTTGAAGCCAGTCAGCGTCTGGTGTGTTGTTTAATTTATGATCTGAAAGCTTCCTTCCAATAGTTGATTCTTCTGTGCTCTGCTTGATAAACCATTTCTGTTTTCCCTGGGGGAAAAATTCTGATATTAGTAAAATCTGTATCCACAATTAGCAACAATATCACCTTGTTAACACCTATTGGGGACAACTGGTATTAACTTTATACATAAATCACTTAGAAAAGAAGAAAAAAAAATTTGAGAGTTATCAAGGGATCTAAATAGATGAAAAATCCAACCAAATGTGTGTACTGATTGATTGATTTTTGTAGTATTGGGGATTGAACCCAGAGTTGCTCTACCACTGGGCTACATCTCGAGCCTTTTTATTTTGAGAAAGAGTCTTGCTAGGTTGCTGAGGCTGGCCTCAAATTTGTAATCCTCCTGTCCCAGCCTCCTGACTGGCTATTACAAACATGTACCAAAATGCTTGACTTAAACTTTCATATTTTAACAAATACTAAGCTAAGAGGTTCAAGTAATCTACATTAAAGAATACAATGCACAGTATTAAATGTAACAGAAAAGTTAAAAAAATTAAAGCTTATTCATTCGAATTTTACTCTGTGCTTGATGCAATTTCTTATTGCCCTGATTATACCATAATGAAAAGAGTCATACTTCAGGTATATCCTAAATTTGTAGTTCTCTTCTTTCAGAGGTTCTAACTATATGGTGCGGCATTTTCTTGTTGGTTTTATTTATAGGCCTTAATGATGTGTCAGGCTTAAGTGAGCTTATATGGCTAGCTAGGCATGAAGCAGTCTCCAAAGACAGCTACCACCCACTTCCTCGTTCCTGTATGACTATTTCGCTGTACACGTAAGGAGGTGGAGTTTATCCTCTGCCCTAGACTTTGGCTGTCCTTCTGACTTATTCTGATTGATAGAATGAAGTAGTCAGTGCCTGTTCCAGGACTAGTCTTAAAAGGGCCAGGAAGCCTTTGCTTTTGCTCAGTGAGGCCAGCCATAAAACCTGTGAAGTAGTTTAATCTTGACTCTGAGGAGACATCAGGTGGAGGAGCAGTAAGATAGAAGTGAAGCACCTTTCAGCTCTACCCTGACCAGCCCAGCAGCCAGACTGAAAGCTCCCTTTCAATACACAAACTGATCCTTCTGAGAAGCCTGTCAAGTATCTGTTCTATTTAAATACAATTAATTCTCTTTCTTCAAAAAAAAGTTGTGCAAATGCCAAATGTCTTCTTTGATATAAGGAGAGTAACTAAGAACAGAGTAGGGACGAAGAGCAGGAGAAGAAGATTAACATTAAACAGGGATGAGAGGTGGGAGGGAAAGGGAGAGAGAAGGGAAAATGCATGGAAATGGAAGGAGACCCTCAGAGTTATACAAAAGTACATACAAGAGGAAGTGAGGGGAAGGGGAAAAATAATATAAGGGGGACAAACGAATGTCAGTAGAGGGAGCAGAGAGAGAAGAGGGGAGGGGAGGGGAGGGGAGGGGGGATAGTAGAGGATAGGAAAGGCAGCAGAATACAACAGACATTAGTATGGCAATATGTAAATCAATGGATGTGTAACTGATGTGATTCTGCAATCTGTATATGGGGTAAAAATGGGAGCTCATAACCCACTTGAATCAAATTGTGAAATATGATATATCAAGAACTATGTAATGTTTTGAACAGCCAACAATAAAAAATTTAAAAAAAAAAAAAAAAAGGGAAAACTAAACAAAGCAAAAAAAAAAAAAAAAAAAAAAGTTGTGCCCTTTTCCAGTTGTGTACTTACTGTCTTGTTCATCTAAAGAACAGGCAGTGATTTATCTAGACAAATCCTTTCCTTGGATACATTTGAAGAGTTCCTTCCTAGATCTGGAGACCTCTCCCAGCCCCAACCCAACCAAAGGTTTTCCTTTCAGTTTTTTATTTTCCAAATTTCAAATTTACAAAAAAAGCTGTCATGTTTTGGAACTTCCATTCTCTTACATCAATTTTCTTCCCTTTTAAAATGTATTTAATTTCACCAGTAAATTGGGGCCCAAAATAAGATGGAGGAAAAAAAAAAAACTTATTTAGGGCCAGGGTTGTTGCTCAGTGGTAGAGCACTCATACCTAGTACAAGTGAGGACCTGGGTTCGATCCTCAGCACCACATAAAAATAAATAAAGATATTGTGTTCAACCAAAAAATAAATAAATATTAAAAAAATAACAACTTATTTATCCCTTAAAGCAAGAATTATATTCTATACTTGCCGGTAAACTACACCGTCCCTAATACTATATGCTGCTTGTCCCTAATACTATATGCTGCTTCAATGTTAGAGTTGTACACATTTGGAGAAAATAACTAGGACTTTAACTTCTTTACATATATTGCAATATATACTTTATTACAGTGATGAGCTTTTTTCTACTAACACGTATTAATTGTACATATTAATGGGGTTCAGTTTCAAAACATGAACACAGTGCTTGCTGATCAAATTGGAGAAATTAACATTTTCCTCTCCTTGTTTTTGTTTGAATCCCATGAACTCCTCTCTTCTAGATCTTCATAAAGCATACACTAGGTTCATGTGAACTGCAGTCACCCTGTGTTGCTGAACACAGAATTCACTCCTCCATCCAACTGTGCTGTGGTACCTGCTGTCCTACTCTCTGCTCCGTACAACGTCTGGCAATCACTATTTCACATTCAAGCAGGTGTTTTTAATTTCCACAACAGAATATGTGATACTTATCTTTCTGTGTCTGGCTTATTTCATTTAACATAATGTCTTCCAATTCTACCCATTTTGCTACAAATGGCAATTTAATTCTTTTCTATGGCTTAACAACATTCTATTTCGTATATACATATTCTTTTTCATTCATCTATTGATGGGCACCTAGGTTGATTCCACATCTGAGCTACTGTGAATAGTGCTGCAATAAATATGGGCATGCAGGTATCTCATTAGTAGGTTGATTTCATTTCCTTTGCATAAATGCTAAAAGAGGGATAGCTGAAGTCATACAGTACATCTATTTTTAGTTTTCTGAGGAGCCTCCATACTGTTCTCCATAATGGCTATCCTAATTTATCCATCAACACTGTAGAAGAGTTCCTTTCTCTCTACATCCTCATCAGAAATTGTCACTTTTTGTTGTCTGGATGATAGCCATTCTAACAGGGATAACTCATTATAATATATATGTTTTTCCTTCTTGGTGATGCTGGAGCTTGAACCCAGGGCTTCATGCATGCTGAGCATGCATTCTACCAATGAGTTACATGCCCACCCTTCAAAGTAATTGTGAGTCATATTTCCCTGGTGACTTAAGCTTATTTTTTCATGTATTTCTTAAGAAGTTAATTCATGTCATATGTCCATTTTTTACAATTAAAAATATTAAAACATAAAAACTGTACATATAGTATATCATGTTATATTTCAATACATGGATACATTGTATAATGTTTAAATAAGGATAAGTATATTTATTTCCTCAAGCTTTTATTATTTCTTTATGAAAAGAACTTACAAAATTCATGTGCAGTACATTATTTATGGTCACCCTCCTGTGCAACAGCACACCAGAACTTCTCATTCCTATCTAACTGTAACTTAGTATTCACTGGCCAACATTTCCTCATTCCTCCCCCATCCCACCTCCACATGAGTGAACTCTGAAATTCTACTTCTTATTATGCCTGAGTTATTGGTTTATTTCACTTAACATAATAATCCCTAGCTCCATCCATGTTATCACAAATGACAAAACTTCTTTATTTTTAAGGTCGAATAATATTCCATTGTGTATATATGCCATACATGTATACATACAATTTCCATATGTGTATATATACAATTTCTTTTTTCACCTAAGTGAGGGACACAGGTTGTTTTTCTTTCTTGGTGATTATGAATAGTGCTACAATGAACATGAGAGTGCAGAGATCTCTTTGATATACTAATTTCATTTCCTTTGGATATATACCCAGTAGTTGAATTGCTCAATCTTGATAGTTGTATTTTTAATTTTCTGAGGGACCTCCATACGGTTTTCCCTAATGACTATAATAAATTACAATCCCATCAATACTGTGCAAAGATTCCCTTTTCTACATATATCCTTTGCCAATATTTGTTATCTTTAGTATTTTTGATAGTAGCCATTCTTACTGGGGGGGGATCTCATGCATTTGTGTGTTGGGGATCAAACCCAGAGTGTCACACATGCTGGGCAAGTGCTTTATCACTGAGCTATATCCCCAGACCTATCACTGTGGTTTTGATATGCATTTCCTTCATGATTTGTGATGCTGAGCTTTTTTCTTTTTCATGTACCTATATCCCTGGCCCTATTTAAAAACTAGACCACTTCTGTGTTATTGTGAGTTCCTATGTATCCTGGATATTAATCCTTTGTCAGATGAATAGTCGGCAAATATTTTCTTTCATTCTATAGTTATCTCTTTCCTCTGTTGTTTCCTTCACTGTGCAAAAGCTTTTCAGTTTGCTGTAATACCATTTTTCAATTTTTGCTTTTTTGTGCTTTTGATTTTTGTGCTTTTTGGGGTCATATCTAGAAAAACAATTGTCCATAACAATGTCTTTAAGTATCTCCATGTTTTCTTCTGATAGGCTCATACTTTGGGGTCTTATGTTTAGGTCTCTGCTCCATTTTGAGTTGATTTTTGCATAGGATGAGAGATAGGGGTCAAGTTTCAATCTTCTGCATATGAATGTCATTTTCCCAGTACCATTTATTGTGGAAACTGTCCTTTTTCCAATATATGTTTTGTGTTGCCTTTATCGGGAATCAGTTGACTGATGTGTAGGTTTATTTCTAGATCTCCATTCTGTTCCAATGGTCTAGGTGTTTTCATGCAAGTACCATGATGTTTTGGTTACTATTGTTCTGTAGTATGTCTTGAAATAGGTTTTATTTTTTTTTCTTTGGCAGGTACAAAAGTTTTATTGAGAGAACACCAATAAAGGGTAAAGGGAAGGAAGCAGGATGGGGTGAAGAGGAAAAAGCCAGATCACAGCACAGATCTTTCACTTGGATATGCTATGGGGGAATAGCAGAAACTTGATTAAGAAGAGCTTTTGATTGTGGTTCAGTTGTTAAAAAAAAACAGATGGTTGAGATTTGAGTGGGGTGCTTGCATGGGTGCCATGATGGGTAGCAAAGGAGATGAATTTCTTTTTTTCCTTTTAGAAATATATGACAGTAGAGTGTATTTTGACATATTATAAATTCATGGAGTATAACTTTTTCTAATTAGGATCCCATTCTTGTGGTTGTACATGACGTGGAACTTTGCTGGCAGTGTATTCATATATGAACATAGGAAAATTATGTCTGGTTCATTCTATTGTCTTTCCTGTGCCCATCCCCCCTGCCTTTGCTTCATTCTCCTTTGTCTAAACCTCTGAATTTCTATTCTCTTCCTCCCTCACTTGTTGTGCATTAGAGAGAACATATCAGAAAGAACGTTAGGCCTTAGAGTTTTTTGGATTGGTTTATTTCACTTAGCATGATATCTCCAGTTCCATTTCATTTACCAGCTAATGCCATAATTTCATTCCTCTTTAGACTTGAGTAATATTCCATTGTGTTATACCTCATTTTCTTTATCTATTCATTTGTTAAAGGGCACCTAGGCTGATTTCATAGCTGATCTATTGTGAATTGAGATGCAATAAACATTGATGTGGCTGTATCACTGTAGTATGCTGATTTAAGTCCTTGGTGTATGCACTGAGGAGTGGGAGGAGTAGGATAAATGGATAAAATGGTGGTTCTATTCCAAGTTTCCTAAGGAATCTCCATACTGCTTTCCAGAGTGGTTCCACCAATTTGCAGTCCCACCAGCAATGTATGAGTAGACTTTTTTCCCCACATCCTTGACAACATATATTGTTATCTGTATTCTTGGTAATTGGCATTCTGATTGGAGTGAGATAGAATCTCAATGTAATTTGAATTTGCATTTCTCTAATTGCTAGAGATGTTGAACATTTTTTCACATTTTTTTAAAAAATATTCTTATTAGTTGTTGATGGATATTTATTTATTTTTTTATACGTGGTGCTAAGGATCGAACCCAGTGCCTCACACATGCTAGGCAAGTGCTCTACCACTGAGCCACAACCCCACCCCTTTCCATGTATTTTTGAAAGTTCATATTTCTTCTGTGAAGTGCAATTCAGTTCCTTTGCCTGTTTATTGATTGAATTATTTTGTGGTTTTGGGTGTTAAGTTTTTACATATCCTAGAGATTAACGCTCTATCTGAGGTACAGGTGACAAAAGATTTTCTCCCATTCTGTAGGCTCTCTCTTCACGTTCTTGATTGTGAAATTAGGTATTATGATGCTCCCAGCTTTCTTCTTTTTGTTCAATGTTGCTTTGGCTATTTGAGGTCTTTTATGCCTCTGTAGTTTTGTGAAGAATATCACTGATATCTTGATGGGAACTGCACTGAATCTGTATATCGTTTTGGGTAGTATGGGCATTTTATAAATATCAAGTCTTCCAACCCATAACCTTGGGAAGTCTTTCCATTTGTGTGTGTGTGTGTGTGTGTGTGTGTCTTCCTCAATTTCTTTCCTTAAGTGTTTTCTAATTTTCACTGTAGAGATCTTTCATGTCCTTGGTTAAATTTATCCTGAGGGCTTTTTTAGTTTAGTTTTATTTTTTTCAGCTATTATGAATAGGACATGGGTTTCTCAGCAAGTTCATCACTGATGATTTTGTATCCTGAAACTTTGCTGAATTCATTTATTAGTTCTAGCATCTTTTGGTGGGGTCTTTTAGGTATTTCTATATATAGAAATAATATTACCTGCCAACAGGGATAATTTACTTCTTCCCTTCCTATCTGTACATCTTTTATTTCTTTCTCTGTCCTAACGCTCTAAAATGTCCAAATGTTCCAAATCTTAGAGGAAATACTTTCAGCTTTCCCCTCTTCAGTATGACATTGGCTGTGGGTCTGTCATATGTAGCCCTTATTATGTTGTTGGAGGATCCTTTAATACCTAGTTTGTTTAGGGTTTTTATCACGAACGGATGTTAAATTTTATTTAATGATTTTTCTTCATTTATTGAGATGATATGATTTTAAAGTAATTCTTAAATATTTGTATTTTTTGTATCTAACCAATTATAAAGTCCTCTTACTGATTCTCATCTAAATAATCCTCTTAATTGCCTTCTCTTCCCCCACTCCTTATTGCCCATGATCTAGTTCAAATGCTTATCACCTCTCTTCCAAATTATTCTGCTATGGTCTCCTTAGAGAAACCTTGTGTCACCCCAGCCACTCCTGCCTCAGTATCCTTCTCACCATGTCTTATTCCCTACCATGCTTTAGGAATTATTTCACCTTTCAGATGACCCTTCAAGAACAAAATGCTGTTAGAACTCTTTCATTTTTTTCTAAATTGATCCTTCCCAGTTCCCTTTTGCCATTCTTGGCTCACCATCTTAATTATCCCTCCTTTAGAGGCAATCAAATATTATGATGTCCTCACTAAAATATGGTAACTAAAATTAAGTACACAATCGGAAATGTGAAAGGAAATTATAGATATGAAATAAGATTTATTTCCCATGATTTAAATAGCTACTGGAAATGGTAGGGAATGAGTTGCAGTTACACAGCTGTGTGTGAACTACAATTACTTCCCCAAATCCTAGTGCACAGCTCTGTTCAAAACCTAGTTTTGTCTCAAGGGGGTAACAAAATACATATTTATATAAATAAAATACATAAAAATAGTATAAAATTAAGAGTATCCAGTATTCAAAAACTATACAGTTTTTGATAGGGAAAAAATATATTTGGAGTTAACAATATGTAAGATTTTTTTTTTTTGATGGAAAGTTTTTCTTTAACAGAATATACTAAAAGATTAGTGTTAGGGGCTGGGTTGTGGCTCAGTGGTAGAGTGCTCGCCTAGCATGCTCCAGGCACTGGGTTCAATTCTCAGCACCTCTTAAGTATAAAATAAAAATATTGTGTCCACCTAAAACTTAAGAGTAAATATAAAAAAAAAAGAAAAGATTAGTGTTAATGTTTCAAACATGTTAGTGAGTTGTATTCAGGATAAAGCTTTTGAGGTAGATATGAACTAATGTGAGTAAGAAGAAGGCTAAACCTAAGTAAATGGCAGTAGCCCTGAACTTCTTTTTCAGTGGAAAATTTCATTTTAGTTATTTAGATTTCTCTCATAAATGTGACATCAAAAACAGAAGCTAACTGCATGACAATCAGGGTATTTAATAAATAGTCCGAGCATTTCCTCCCTAATAGTATATAACCTATGAAAACAATGACCATTTCCATCATTTCATCCTATTTCTCTCCACAAAGCCCCCTTATTCTGACCTCTTCTTACTTCTACTATTGTTGAGGCATTTCTGATTAAATGTATTGTGTGAAAATATTGTCACTAGAAGATATTACAGTAATAAAAGTCATCATTGAAAATATTATCTAAAATTGATAAAATTTTCTTCTATTTAGACATTTTTGTAGTAAGCATAAATTGGTGAGTAGCTTTTACCATCCTACTTAAATCAATTAGATATGATAAAAGAGAAATTAACAGACTGTTATATCTTGATTATAAATCCCAAAATAATTGTAACTAAAAAAAATGGCATCAACATCAGCCTTTCCTTTGAAGATTAGTGACTAAAAATAGCTAATCTCCATTGCTGAAATACCATTTCAGTTATTTTTTATAAGTTTTCTTCACTCCTATTCATAGTGGAACTGGGAGAAGCTCAGCGCTACAACCTATGTATAGCATGTGCAAGGTCTTAGGTTTTACCCTCAGTACCACAAAAAAAAAGAAAAGGAAGAAAGATGTAACACAGAACATCATTATAATTAAGAAAAGCATATATCCAGAAAAAGATGATTTTTGTTTTGAACTATTTTTCTCAGAAAATAAACAATAAAAAGTACTTACTCTCTGTTGTTTATAATGCTTAAACATTCTAATGCAGTGTTCAATGATAAAGAGCAGGTAAATGCCTCCTAGAGCGACAAGTCCTTTCAATACAGCATCATATTCTTCCAAAAATTTCTTAGATTCATGTCCATGAGAATGTCCATGTCCATGTGCATGCTGATGACTGTGATCATGTCCACCCTGAGACTATGAATAAGAATGAAGAAAACTTATAAACAAATAACTGAAATGGTATTCAAACAATGGAGATTACAATCTTATAGAGAACATAGAAAAAATGCTTTTAATTTTACTTTTTAATTGACAATAAAAATTGTACATATTAATGGGGTGCCATGTAATGTTTCAATTACATGTATAAATTATGTAATGTTCAAATTAGGGCAAACATATCTAGCTCCTCAAACATTTATCATTTCTTCATGGTGAAAATATCTAAAACACTTTCTTCCAACTTTAAAAAAAATAAATACATCACATTATCTATAGTCCCCTACTGTGTAATGGCACACCAGAACTTAGTTCTCCTATCTAACTGCAACTTAGTGCCCGTTGATCAACCCCTCCCCATCTCTTCCCTCCTTTCTATTCTCCCAGCCTCTGGAAGCACTATTTCACTCTCAACTTCTATGAGATAAACTGTTTCAGATTTCACATACCAGTGTGATCACAGGTATTGAATATCTTTTAGTTTTCAAAGTGCTCCCCTAGAGATTACCTCACTTTCATTTTAATTTACTTTACATGATGACTTGTCCAAAAAGTAATACTTTTCATGGTGAAGCAAACACCATGGACTCAAATGTCTGTAAGAGTTAGATACTATTGTCAAAGAAGCCAGAAGTAAAAAAAGGAGGTGATGAGTCCTTTACAAATGGGAATAATGACTGCTTAAATGCCTCAAATTTAGTAGTAACAAAACACACCAACTAATCTACCATCAGGTCACCACTTTGACCTCCTGGCTATATGTATAATCATTACAGCTCTTATACATTTCTTCTTAAAGGCTTTCGTAGTATACTGATAGACAGATATATCATTCCTAGCTTCTACTTAAAAACATAATGATTCAATTTTTTTCAAAAATATTGCTAGTTAAACTGAAAATGGAACAAAACAAACTCCATTCAATAAGTAATAGCATATCATAAATACTAGATTAGTATTTGAACAGCTTGCTATTAAAGAATCCTTTTAATTTCAATATTTAAAAATTTTTTAAAGTTAAAAAAGAATTCTTACATGGGGCAGTAGATGAAGAAGGGCATCTCCACTCATTGTTCCCACGGCGAGTGCAACAAGAAATGTGAGAAGGAATTTAAAGCATCCCTGGTTAATGATGGGAACCAAAATCACGCCTAGCAAGGAAAGCAGGCTAATGACAGTGATAGAAATGATACCACAAATCCATGCTGTAGGGAAAAATTGTCAAGATTAGTATGATGGCATGGAACAAAAAAGTCCTAAAGAAGAATAAACATAAGATAAACGAGTCATGGAAGACAGGTTATCTTTCCCAGACTATGCTTTTTAAGAAACTTTATGGACTGCTGTTCTTAAAAACAAATAAAACCGGGCTGGGGATGTGGCTCAGGCGGTAGCGCGCTCGCCTGGCATGCGTGTGGCCCGGGTTCGATCCTCAGCACCACATACCAACAAAGATGTTGTGTCCGCCGAGAACTGAAAAATAAACGTTGAAAAATTCTCTCTCTCTCTTTCTCTCGCCCACTCTCTCACTCTCTCTTAAAAAAAAAAAAAAAAAAAAAAAAAACAAATAAAACCATAACATTTAGCCACCCTGAACTCTTAATAAAAGAAAAAACGCAAATCAACTTATAAATAGTACCTCAATGGCCCACAATATTAGAAACAGTGACTTAAAATGACACAAGGCTATGATTTGCTCTTAATATCTAGACTATAAATAAACTTTCCACTGTCTGAAGGCACAGTCATACACAATAAAACTCTTTATTTAAAGAATATAATTATAATAGTTTCCTTGAGCACTAAAGTGAAACAAAGTATCTATCTAATGTACATTTTTATGAATCTTTCTAATAAAAAGTTTAAGAAACAACATATCAGCCCAAAGTGGAAGGATATTCACATGAAGAGTTAAGAAAGCATTACTGGTCGCTTTATGGTTCCAAAGGATAATTCTGTGCTCTTCCCCTTGATTTCTTCTCTTCTCTACACTATTTTGGAATTCCCTTTTCTTCAATTTGGCTTGCTATACAATTTACCACTTTTTAAGTATCTTACTATATATAACTGACTAAGAATATGAGAAACATTTTTACAAAATAACTTTTGAAATAAATAGGTGTTATGGTGAAGAGGAATTTGTTCACAATTCTTTATCAAGATAAGCAGAATAAGATACCAGAAATAAATGCAAATGTTTGGGGAGCTATAAGTTTTGATTACAACTTGTATTAGCAGCCTAAACAAAAACAGAAATGTATTTCCTTTAAAAATTCTTTACCAAATTCATCTGTAGGAAATTTCACTGATTTCAAAGTGCTCCCCTAGAGATTACAATTCTGTGAAACTTTTAATGTAAAATACTATTTTTCTAATCAAATCTTAATAGGACTATCAGTCTGCTGAAAGAATTTTTATGAATTCTTATTTTAAGTGAACAAAGGGAAAATGCATCTCTTCCTCAGATAACTTAAAAATTTCACAAATAGATCAGTGAGGAGATGAGACTTGGCCCACTAAGTAGTTAATTTTATCAATAAAATTGTTTATCCACTGGACTCTAGTCACAATATTCAGTGACATTCACACAATAGCCAACACTCATTAGCTAAATTAGATCATGGAATTAAAACGATAGGTCATCTATTGCTGATGGAAGCTTTGCAGCTCATCCAGGTATGAAGTTCTAACCACTGGACTTAAATTCTTTTTTTTTTTTAAGTTTCTATTTTTTTTTATTGGTTGTTCAAAACATTACAAAGCTCTTGACATATCATATTTCATACATTAGATTCAAGTGGACTTAAATTCTTTAGCTTTGATCCTTGCAAATATTCCAAGGCAAGGAAGGAGGAGGAAATCAATTTTTAAGGAAACAGGGTCAGAGAAATATCATTATAAAACCCTTCCTGGTTGGTGAAACTGAAGGATAAGAGCGAGATCCCCCCAACAACACTTACTCTATAAGGCACAAGAAGTAAAACCCTACCCAGAGAGAAAAATATATATTCAAGTAAAGTCTAGAGGCTCACTTAAATAAGGAGCAACCAAGTTACTCTGCCCCCTGTTCACAGGTAGGAACAATAAAATCGATGAAACCTGATAATATTAATAGGTCAGAGAGGTAGCCAGAGGTACAGATTTTAGACATGAGAATTGGAAGTCAACAAACTTACTGGCCAACTAAACCAACCAAGGTTTGTCAAAACTACCACAGCTCTCTACCTCCAGTCATATTAGGGGAAAAAAGCAAATAAAAGTGGTTACTTTATCTAAACAGGACAAATTGAGGCTGGAAACAAAAACATTAATTTGAAGATAAAATGTCTCATACTATAAATACATAACTCTCTTTCCGAATATATATCTTCCATTAGTTTGGCAATAATCCAATCTAGAAGCAAATTATCTCAAAGTAACAACCTAAAAAGCACCTTAAATTACAAGTTTAAAGAAAAATACACTAAATTTCTGGGGAAAACCAGAAATGTATATATACTCCAAAATATTCTATAAGAGAATAAATAAATAACTATATATACTTTTTAATGTAAACACATGTGGATGAACACCACCAAAATCACAGACAAGACCCCAAATATACAATATATACAGAGCAAACAAACTTGGTAACTCCTCATAATTATCAGAAATTCTTATTAATCAGAATTATTTAACCCAAAAATATACTTGAATTAGTTACCAAAATTATCCAATAAAGGTACTTATTTTAACTCTGTCTATACATCAACGTCCAAAAAATTCATATAAATTAAAATCTACATTTGCAAATTTCTAGCTGGTGATCTTTGTTACTGATTGATTCATTTATTTTTTAATGCTGTATTTTTTTATACTTTTATTTTATTTATTTATATATGGTACTGAAGATTGAGCCCAGTGCCTCACACATGCCAGGCAAGCACTCTACCACTGAGTTACAGCCCCAGCCCTGATTTATTCTTTTTTCTAGAGCTATATTACAATCTATACTGGACCTACTTATCAATACATTTGCAAAAGAAATTAAATTTTAAAATCTTAACATTTGGAGAACACCTTTAATTTGACATATTATACAATTTAAGACAACAACTAATACAATATAACTTTGCAGGCTAATAAAATATTAGCAGTAGAAGTATATTTCAAATTTTGAGTTTATAACATTTTCAAACTTAGGACCATATTAAAACAACATATTCTTATAGGCATTAAAGAGTTGGTAAAATCTATTGCCTAATCATAAAAGTAGTGTTACCAAAATGAGAATGAATCTATGCAAGTATTTTTTTCTAAAATTCTCATTATATTAATTTGTGAATAGGAATATCTTAAATGTGAAACCATGTCCAGTAAGATTTCAAGAAGCCAAATACATATTGCAATGTTCTGAGAAAACAATTATAATTTTAAATGCCATTTGGTCAATTATCAAAAGTCAAGTCAGCAAATGACAAATTAACCAAAATCTAATTTAAAAGAAAAAAAACCACAATTTTTCAATATACTAGCAGAAAACAGTAAGTACATTATAGAAGACCAATTATTGGCAGTTTAACACATGTTGAAACTAGCCAACTGCTTATACATTTATTTGGAGGAGGGTGTGTTTGTGTGAGTTCATGTGTATACAAATCAGGACCTATCAGGACATATGCATATAGTATCAATTGTTATAACTACACAGTTCTTTCTTCGTCATGGATTCTTTCTTAGCCATGGTGAGAAAGTAAATCTATGGTATAGAAGGGGAAAAAAAAATGCTTTAAAAGAAAAAAGTCCACCTGATAATTAGACAATTTTTGTCATTTGTAATATGTGACATTTGAAACTTGGAAGATATACTCTCACAAAAAAAGCCTTACACAAATCTTGGGTTACAACATTGCCCAATTTAAGACACCATGCTCACTGTATTTTTAAGAGGGCAACATTTACTTAGAACACAATGTGAATCACACTTGAAGTTGTTCAAGGAAATGGTATTATATTGAGCTTGGAAAGCTATTTCTCCAAAATGCTTTGATAAATACATAAATGCATACACATGTATGTACTTTTTAACAAAAATAACTTTTTTTTTTTTTGGTGTCTTGTTCATTATAAAATGCTTGTTGACAAACCTGGTGTTGAGCAACAATGAAATGTCAAAAATCACAAGACTCTACTCCTGCTCCTAGATTTAATAATTTAAATACTTATTTAAATAATCCACATGACTCTGAACATTTAACTCTTTAAAAGAATTTCTTCAATTAAAAGAAATACATATGATTATTATACAAAAGGCTTACCTTTAAAAGATTTTTAATTGATTTTTTTAAAATTCTAGGACTAAAATGATCCTATATCTTTCAATGACTCCCCCCTCCCCATAATTGGTAAACCACTCCTTCATGTATGCACTTCTCTGGCAGAGATAGAAATTATAAAAATACTTTTTAAAAAGTCAATTATTCTGTCCCTTTAAAAAGACAATTTATCTTAATTCTTGCTTCCTACTAAAGGACTCTGATATCTATGGTAGCATTATTCAAACTGTTTCATGAGATAGAGAGTATTTCAAAAGGAAGGGTAGCGGGCTGGGGTTGTAGCTCAGTGGCAGAGTGCTTACCTCAGCACCACATAAAAACAAACAAACAAATAAATAAAACGTGTTGTGTCCATCTACAACTAAAAAAATTTAAAAAAAAGGAAAGATAGTGAGATTTAATATTCAAGATGCTAGGCATGGTGGCACACCCATGGGAAACTGAGGTAGGTGGATCACAAGTTTGATGCCAGTGATGGGCAGTACATTGAGACCTTGTCTCAAGATAAAATAAAAATGGGCTGGGGATGTAGCTCAGCAGTAGAGTGCTTGTTAGCATACACAAAGCCCTGGGTTCAACTCCCAGCATGGCCAAAACCTAACAAAAGTGTGTGTGTGTGGGGGGGGAAGTTTTCCACAAAACCAGGAAAGTATGGCACAAAAGGGGGAAAAAAAACCCAAAAAGATACGGAAAAACTGATGGAAGGTCTACTAGACAATGCCTTTTTAACCATACAGTCAATCAAGAAAACAATATATAAACAAAACAGTAATCAGTAAAAAGAGACGGAAAAGCTTACATAAAATTAAACCAACCAATGAACCTCTGGAGTGGAAAAATACAACGACTAAAATTAAAAATCCAGAGGGGTTTGAAGGCATATTTGAGCA